GACCATTAAAACCCTTTTTCTCTTCCCCAGTGTAAATGGGTTTATTTCTCATTAATACCCATTTGTTCTTGTGCTACCACAGTTCACACACTTGAATAACCAGGGGGTATTTTGCTCCTGCATGGCACTGACACCTTTCCTGAGATATCCAGAGATGATCACATGCCCTCTCAACCCTCATTTTGTTATGTTTTATCAGCCAAAAGTCTTTTAATCTCATGCTGTAAAACCCCACTAGCATCCCCCTTCTCAGCATCTGTCCCACTTAAAATTCACCATTCTGGGAATTATCAAGAATTACACACAGGATTTCAAAGGATGCTCCTAGGTGAGTTATTAGCAACGGGAAGCTGAACTCCAGCAACTTGGGCATAAAAGCAGAATGCTTTCCTGACAGAATTGGAAACATTTCCAAGCTCTGGAAGACTTAAAAATTTTTACATCATCTGGATAAGAGGTAGGGGCAGGGAACCACACATCTGCCCACCCAGTCTGGCTGACAGATGTGTATCCCACCAGTGAATGGGATACCTGGATAAATCCTGTCTCCCTGGTTTGTAACCAATTCCCTCACCCACAGCAAGTGACAAAAAGCATGGCTTTACTGTGTACCTGGAAGAATACCAGGAAGAGCAAGGAGCAAGAGATTTACAAGAAAACCAGAGCACTGAATCAGTACAAAATTGCATCCCGTTAGTCTGTGCCTTGAGTGTGCCTGAATAATCAGTGCCAAAATCACAGTGCTTTAAAAATCCATTACGTGGGAAATACAGCCATTAATCCTAAATTGCAATGAAGGGAAGAAGACTTCAATCTCTGCTGTGGACTCTCGTTCTGAAAGCCTTTAATCTCTATGAAGTAATGTTTGAGATGCAGTTGCTGTTGCTGGGGAAATAAACATGATGGCACACGAAATAAAAAAACACTGTGAAGTGGGGAGGAGGCAAGAGTAGCAGATGAGCCCTGATGAAACAAAGGACTCTCACTCTCCAAGTGTAGCCTCTAACAAAACAAAACATGAGGCAGAGTGACTGAAAACATCTTAGAAAAATTGACTGTGCTTAGGTGCGTTATCTAGTAGGACATCTCTGAGTCTTTATCTAAATTACACAATCTGAGGCATTTCATCCACTCAGTGTCTCTAGGCTTCTTAAATGAGAGGGAAGGTTTATCTTCCTCCCATTACAACTGCAAATGTGTGTCTAAATCCTCGTGTGTGTATGCACCATTACTGACTTACAAATACCACATTGCTGCTCAGCGTTGTTACTCAATCTCCTGTGGTTCAGGGAACACTAAAACACAAAGATTATTTTGCACTTGGTATTATAGATAATATCTTTATCTTTAAGGTTCTCAACTCTCTTGGGGCCTCTCCCTCAGGAAAATTCAACTCTTTGACAACTGCTTTGCGACTCAAAACCAAAAAAGCACTTTTCTTCTGTGCTCTGACCTTCGCTGTAAGCATTGCAAAGGGCTTAAGTAAAGAAACAAAAGATCAGGAATCCTTCTGTGCAGTACATGCTCTTAACCTTCACCACCACTGGAAATGAGTCCCACTTTAATCTGAACAGGGACAAACACAAAACCAACTCTCGTCATCAGACCTTGGGACAACAATTCCTACAGCTGTGCAGAAATGACATTCTCAGCATGGCAGATCTCTGTCTAAAACCCTGCTGCTAAGAAGGAAAAGGAATGTCTGCACAAACACTCACGTCTCTACATTCCTGAGCTCTACTGCAGCCCTGCCTTCATGTCAAAAACACCAAATAAATGTTTCGGCCCTTCTGAAGAGCAGGGCACAACTGCAGGTAAAATATCAGGAACCTGACAGAGGTCTGTGGACAGCAAGAAAAAAAAAAAAGAGATCAGAAGAAAAAAAACTTTGATTCATATTTTTGGCATTTAGATTAGATGGTCATTGTAGGTCCCTTCAAACTGAAATTTTCCTATTCTCTTCTATTCTATTTAATATTAGTGTAGGTAGTGAGAACACAAAGCAATACAAGGTAAGAATGATTTGGAAGTAGCTTGCTCCACTGAAAAAGTTGCTTTTTAGGACCTCAATCCAGCCAGGGCAACAATTCCCCTGAGCTTCAAAGTCCCATCTTCCAGCTGCTGTTGTATTTCTTTCCAGCCCTTTCACTGTGGGACTGAGCAGCCAAGCATGGGGATGCTGTTGAATAAAAATGAATTTGCTATTAGCTCTTTTGCCCAAACCAAAGGAAAAAAATGGCCAGCTGGAGGTTAAAAGAGCAAATAGTGGCTCATGGTGTAACCAAAGAAGAATTTGATCCATGTGGTAGAGTTCTATGTACACATTTCTGACATAATTGGCAGTGATTGCACCAAATAGAAATGGCAATTCAGACCATCAACAAATTCAGTGATCACAGCCCTTCCAGGCAGGCAGATGGAGAGCCCAGGGAGAGTTCAGCCTGATTTTTGTGGGTGCAAGGTTCCAAAGTGTAAAGCACTCTGCAGATATAGGTCTGGGGAAGCAAACCAGCTACTGCACCCCCTCAGCCACAGCACGTGTGCACCCAGCTCTGGACATGGATGCACAGCGTGGCTGTATCCCAACAAAGGAGCACTTGTGTGTTCACTGCTCACCCCCGCAGTCATATCTGCTTTGGTCAAAAGGGATCTGGGTGAAAATGAGGGGCATTTACACAGAGTTTCATTTTTCCTCTTTGCCTTGTCTTTTCTGAGCTTTGCCCCTCATTCCTACATGATGAGAGCCCTTATGGCCCAGCAGTTATAATTCATCCTCCATAAGCAATTTTTACAGCAGTGTATACTGTCCTTCTACATCCAAGCAGGACAGACAAGTACCAAGCACTAGAGTAAGAAGGAATAAAGCAGTGAAACATGGAGGAGGAAGAGTTCCCTTGCTCCTCTCCCTGTCTCTCATCTGCCCTGAGCACAAGGTCTCTGTGAGCTGCAGGTCTCCTGTGTGTGACCCAGCTGCCCCATGGTCACACTCCCTGCTGCCCCATGCTCCTGTAGACATAACAGAAAAGTGGATTAAAGGATCTACAGCCCAACTGCCCCAACACTCACAGTCACCATGAGGGACAGAGGCCACAAACCTGAGGCTGAAAATGCCTGAAATGAGCATATGAATGAGGCAGCAGGAGGGGAAGCCCCATGGGACATATCAAGGTGTCCTACCTGTCTGACTTCCATATGGCAGGGCTACTCCAGAATACAAAGGCAGCAGACAAACACAAAGAAGAAGAAAAATGCTCTCAAGCAGGAAATATTTGGGTTCCCTGTTCTTCTTCATATAGCAAAGCAGCAAAGCAGCAAAGCAGCAAACACTTTCAGAGAATGGAAAAAGGGCTAAAGCAAGAACAGCAGCAGCAGGCAAAGACAATTAATACTTTCTAAAAAACAAATAGTTCTTTCAAAACCAGTTTTATACCCTTTAGAGAAAGACTGCAGCGGACACATCCATTTTTCCCACTGTGTAGATTTGTAAAGCTAAGTATGTATTGCATAAGATACCAATTAGAAACATTTGTTTTGGGCAAAAGAAGAAGCGATGAGCCACTCTGGTTAACTGCCATCTCTGAGAGAGGCAGTCTTTTTCCATTTGTCTGCTCTTCCACTAAAAACAGAGTGTTTTATGAGCAAACAGTGAAAGCTCAGGTCTCGTTTTCCAATTTGAAGTCTCAGAAGTACTCAGCCCTGTGTTCTCACCCTGTAACTATCCTCCAGTCACCTGTAATCATACTCAGTGGTCTCAGCTTGGCTCTCAGCAGCTTGCAGCAGCCCTTTGAAAAACACTTCATCAGTTATTTCCCCCCTCCATGATTTTCCCTGCCAGGTTTTCTCTGGATGGCAAAGCTGAGTGGCTCTGCCTGAAATCAGAACTGACTCATGCCTATAGGACACAGCACTTCTGACCCACGAAGGGGGTCACTTTTCCACCAAATTCTCTCCACTTGGCTGTCAATATTTAGTTTAACTCCATTGTTTCATTGCTTATCTCTGGAGCTGATGTGTTTTACTAATGGAAAAGGCATTCCTTCTCTTCTACTGGATTGGGTGGCCCACTGTGCCCATCTGAAGCACCAGGAGATGTTAAACTTGTACTGACTTTAGTTTTAGGCTGTATCTGACTGGATGTTTACATGGTGATACACTAAAAATCTGTGCAAAATGCTCAAATACTAGCTTTCCTAGCCCAGTGCAAAGTACAAGATTCACAGGTTGTAATAGGCTATCCCGGGAACCGGTTGAGTCACTATCCCTGGAGGTATTTAAAAGACATGTCGATGTGGCACTCGGGGATGTGGTTTAGTGGTGGGCTTGGCAATGATGGGTTAACGCTTGGACTCGATGATCTTAAAGGTAATTTCCAACCCGACTGATGCCATGATTCTGTGTTAAAAGTGAAGCGCTAACATTGCAGAGACCAGGGTGCCGGGTCCCTAGAGGAGGGTGCAGGATCCCTTGGGTCTCTGACCGCCTGGGCAGCCCGTCCCCAGCTTTCGTGATTCCCCTCTGATCTCCCAGCCCCGGGCCGCCGATCCAAACCCCAGGGCCGGACTGCGAGGGTGCCCGGGCCGGGCGGGGGCTGCACCCTCACACCGGGGCCGCTCAGGCTGCCAGACGGCTGCGGGGCAGCGCTCGGCTCCAGGATGCCCACGGGACACGGGAGGAACGGGCACACACTGGGGAGCCCCCCGGGACGGGCAGCAGCCTCTGCAGCGAGCGGGACGCAGCACTGGCTCCGCGGGGAGCTCTTCCCCCGGGGATAATCCGCCAGGGCGAGACCAGGACAGGCAGCGGGGCTGCTGAGGGAATCCACGCAGCAGAACAGAGCTCTGGGGCGGCGCGGCGGAACCCCCGCCCGGCAGGAGACAAACTTCCCCGGCGGGCCCGGTCCGGACCCCCCGCCCCGCCCGCGCCCCGCCCCGGAACCGGGCGCGGCTCCCGCGGGCGGGCAGAGCCCGGCGGCTGCGGGCGGAGGGGCTGCCGTGAGGGGCTGTCGTGAGGGGCGCTGCCCGCAGCAGGGCCGGGGGCCGTGAGGGGCGCTGCCCGCAGCAGGGTCGGTGCGTCCCCGCCGCAGGAAAGCCGCCGCGGTAAGGCCGAGCTCCGCCGGGGGCTCCGCGGGAGCTCCGCGGGAGCTTCGCGGGAGCGGGGTCCTCTGGGTCGGGAGAAGTTGGGCTAAACCCCCTCCCGGGGCTGGGCATCCCCCCTGTGCCCCGCTGCCGGCCGCTGGGACCGGCCGGTGTCCGCGGAGCAAGGAGCTCAGCGGGCCGGAGCTGCACCCTCACACCGGGTGAGGGATGCTGAGCGCAGGGGGATGGAGGCGCGACAGCGGCAGGGAGGTGTAGGTGGGACCCAGTTCGGGCTGCAGGTGCGGCAGCATCGCTGGGACGGGCCCCGGTGCCGCTCTGAGGGTACACGGGAGAGGCGGGAGCCGGTCCGGGCTGCGGATGCAACAGCGCGGGGTATTCATAGGCGGGATGGAGTCCGGATTGCAGGTGCGAGAGTGGAGCACACAGGTGGGAGCGGGTCCCACTGCAGCCGCAGACACACCGTGCGAGGGCTCGGGTGTTGGCATTGTCGCTGCTGGGTGTCCTTCGGATGGCAGGTGCAGCCACACGGGGTACGGGTGCGATGTGGTCCCGATTGCACGTGTAGGTGCAACGTGGTGCGGGGTTGCAGGCGTGATGGCAGCGGGATGTGGTCCTGCTGTGCCTGGGGCTGGCAGAGCATCTCCCAGCACAGAGTGGATGGATGGCGTGCCTGCGTCTGCGCCGGGCCACTTTCAGGCTTTTATTTTGACGGATTCTGTTCTGTTATCCAGTGGTTTTCAGACAAGGTCTCCCAAGTCCTGCCCGGTTTTCCCACATAGTTCTCTCCAGCCTCATCCTCCCTTTTGCTCAATAACTCTGCAGTGATTAAATGGCTTCTTGCAACATCGGTATACAGAGCTGAATTCCAGAGCTCGTGGGTGGGGAAGGAGTGCTCAGACATACTGATTTTAGAAAAAATACCCCAAAACGGTGCTCGTGGTTGTCCCTCCCTGTACCAGATCAGCACTGTGAACTGTACATTCTTTTTTTGGATTCTTAAGACTGAAGAATTTCTCCGGGTAAACACAGTGCAAAACACCTCAGGCTCCCTGGTAGACTGCAAGGAAACTTCTGGCTTGAGTTAGTTGAAAAGGAAAGTTGGAGTCAGCAGAGTTACAGTAAGGTTGCCATCGTCCTACTGAACTTGCTCAGAATTTGGGCTGTCTGGCCACTAATCTCGTTTCTCTTCCATCCACTTAAGCTCATTTTTCCACTAAACAGAGGCTGCCAAAACCAGAGGGCTGGGGGGAAGGGATTGCAAGAATCTGTGAGGATATGAGATTTTTTTTTTGTCCTGTTATAAGTTAATAATCCCATTCTAGGCTGTCATCCAAAAATATTGCTGAAAAAATGCAAGCAGTGTACAAGACCCATTGTATAAAAGATAATCTAAATGTAGGACAGGAAGAGACCTGGCAGGTCAGCAAATCTAAACACAGAATGATATTATGCCTTCTTGCACACGACTGTAATTCATTTATTGCCAGCCTTCTGGGAAAAGGAAATTTCACACCTTAATAGAACTGATATTATAACCCTTTCTCCAATATATGGCTTTCTCTTACTTTGTATTTGCACTGTGACTGCTTCGTTCTCCCTGCCTGGTGCTTTTCTCTTATCAGTGCAGAAATAGGAGTTGCACTCTTTTCTCTTTACTGTGCAATGCCAAACAAGCTCCAACTCGCTGTCTGCTTTCATGAAGCAGGCTCCAGCGTCTGCTGATCCCTGGCAGTTGTGAGCTGGGCTTCCTAATCTCCGAGTTCCCTGTGGATGAGCAGAGCTGCAGGGCTCAGAGGTCTGTCCTGTGCCTCTCATGTTTTGACACCTCACCTAGAAATAAATCCCTCACCAGGTAGGTGCTGCAATTAACCTCCTCCTCAGGTTCCTCCTGTCCTGTGGTGGGGGGTGGGAAGCTGGGATTTTCCTCTCCAGGTGTCCATCTGACTTTTGTTTTCTGCTGTCAGCTCTCATCGTATTCCAGTCATTCTGTTAATCCCATTTTTATTGCATATCCCCATGTTCTGTGCTAGTTCAGAAAGTTCCCTCAGCTTTCTCCCACTTGCTCTGTGATGAAGGGAGAAGTTAAGTGGGATGGAGTCTCCCTCACTTGCAGTAGTGACCCCTGCTAGACTCAGACTGACCCCTTCCATTTCATTTTCTGTCTAATCTTTCTAGGTCTGTACCCTGTTTATTACAAATTTTTATCTTTCATTTGCAAACTTCTGATTTCACTGGACTGCACAGCAAATGGCTTCAAATGTGTTGTAAGCTGAACTTTATCCCTGTCTTGTGTGCCAGGTATGCTGAATAGTTTTCCCAGAGTAGCTGAGCAGAAAATTTTTCTTACCAAAGCAAGCTAAATTGCATTTTGTCCTTCTTTCCACCCGATTTACTTCCATGGCATCAGTTATTACATGTGGGGTTTTTCTGCAGTGATTATTCTGTTGATGAGGATGTTTAATCCCACCATTGTAGCTGCAGCCAGCTGTGAGTAGAAGATGGGTGAAATTCAGCAGTGGAGAGCAGCACAATGCTGCAGGTTGGGCAGTGAACAACATTCATCAAGCTGAAACAGCTGAAGGAACTTCAGACAAGCTCAGTGCTCATATCTGAGCTCAGGTTAAGCTCCCACTTGAATATCCTTGCTCTTAATATTTGCAGTAAGGTCTATCAATAATGATTCAGAGAAAATACCACTGAACCAACAAAGTCAGGTCATGGGGTCACACAGTGACACTGAACAAATCCAGCTCTGCTCAGTCCAAAATGCTGCAATTGGTAGGTTCAGATAAACATAAGGAGTTATCCCTGCTCCGTTCATTAACATTGTACATTGCTTTTTATATAAGCAGGTGAAAAATACCTAAATATTTTGCAGAAGGTAGACTGCAGCATGATACCCCTCGTGTTCAGTGCATGACTACTAAAATATTATAATCCCTTTGGCATTATCCACCAAGCTGAAGTTTATTCCAGTGTTTCTCAGCATTGCCTGTGAGCAGTTTATCATGCAATGTTCATGAGCTTGGTCTTGCACAGGCTGCCTTCATCTCCCAATGGCCAGAAAAAGTACTGAGAGCACCAAGTGAGCAAATAATCTGTATTTTAATTTTACTGAGATTTCTCCAGTCCAGTGCTGCCAACCAAAATGCTAAGAACAAATTTAGGGAAGGCAATAAGTCACATCAAATTCTGAGTTTTGACTGTCGCCTTCTAAAGAAGGGCAGCTTCATGCTCACAGGTCTGGTGTGGGGTTGTCAGACCATTCCAGAGGTTCCAGTTCTGCAGGCATGCTTTAAGGGCTGGAGTGAAGCACAAATTGGAAATGCTTAAAGAAAGCATTTAGGTGACTTTTCAGTGCCTTCAGATTCCTTGTCAAGGGCAGGTATCCTCTGGCTCCTTTTTCCTAGGAAAAGAATAATAATGAGCAACAGCCAAGCTTTATGATTGCTACCAGATAATGTCAGTGGTAGATGAGGTGATTTTATGAAACTGAATACAGAAGAAAATAGGGTGTGGGGTTCAAGCATGAGGCCCTGAGTCATTGCCTGGCATCTACGGGAGTGCCCAAAATTAAAAGTTAGTGATTATGTAATGTGGCAGATGAACATTTGTTGCTGCTTTGTCAGCCAGCCTTTCACATCTGCAGGAAGCATCAGGAGAGCATCTAACAGCGTGGTGGATTTTCTGTTTGATGTAATGAACACATGTTGTTCATGGATTCAGCTATTTCTACTATTTTAATACCTGAGCTGACATTTCAAAGTGCTGGGAATGCTGGAGCCACAGATCAATGAGACTCTTAAGCAAGCAGTAGTGTTTGCAAAAAGCTCTGTAGCATTTAATGGTGTATTTCAAGGTCTCTGAAAAACCATCTGAGCTGATAAAGGACACCAGACAAAGCCAGAAAAGACTGAGAGACAATGGATGAAGTCCTCATTCCAGCCCTGGAGTCACTCAGCTGATTCCAAAATGTTTAATGACCACAAAAGAAGCAGCTCACTTCAGAAGGGACATTGCTCCAGCACTTGTCCAGTATCACAAGAACAGACAAATGCAGAGCTGCCAAATGCTGTAGTTGGTAAGGCCTGATGTTGAACTTGGCATGGTTGGAGTAATTATCACCAGGTGGTGCTACTTGGAAATGACTTCCACTTGTTATTTTTACCAGGATCATTATTCAGCTGAGGTGTGAACAGTATTAATTTTGTGGACTGTTAGAGGCCAGAGAAGGGGTTTTCTCTTTGCACTGCTGTTCCATTGGAGTCTGTGAGCAGGTGTGCTCAGTCACTCCTTGGTGCTGAGAGTTTCAGCTGATGGTTTGCATTGCTGCTCACAGGGTACCTACAGACTCTCTGACACTGGTTTCACCCCAAACCCAGCTTGCAAAGCCTTTGTTGGCTCTGCTGCTCCCAAGCTGATGGCTAATGCTAACACAGGACATCACTGGTGGCAGCTGGCCACCTTGGAACTATGTGGGTCTCCACTTTTCCAGATGGGAAAGCTGAGTCACATTTTAACAAGCAAGGACAGCAGAGGAATTTGGAGATCACTCCAGGAAAGTGTGGGAAAGGAGGCATCCTGCAACCATAAAACCTCTATATTTAGTTGTACTTTAAAATGGAAAATATTGGTGATTTTGGCATTGCAGAGGTCCAATGAGCTCCACTCCTGTTTGCTCTGCTCAGGGAGCCATGGCCACCTGTCCTACCCCTTCCCTGTGATCCCCAGAGGGAGGGACATTCCAGCCCCACTGGGGACTGCAAGGCCAGCCCTTCACTTGCAGGAGGCACAGCCAGAGGGGATGAAGGGAGGCAAGCAGCAGCAGCAGAGCCCCTTCCTCTCTCCAGATCAATGAATAAGGTTGGCATCATCTTGATTGATTAATTTATTTATAATTTTGGTGAGAGGCTCTGCTTTTGCCAATGCAGCAAAGGCATAACTGTTACACTGGCTCTGTGGGTTAAGTTGCATTATTTTTAATGAGGCAGCTATCTCCG